AAACACTTGTTTCCTTTATTATAAAATTTGTTCAGCCGTTATATATTCTACAAAACACATCCTTTCGTGAACTCCTCCTTACTTGTGAGCCCGGTTATAGAATCCCATGTGACAAAACAGTGAAGGCCTTAATTTATGATTCATTTTTGTGGAGCAAGGAGCAGCTTTGTTCACTTTTAAATAATTGTGTTGCTGTTCATTTGACTACTGATTTATGGACCGCAAAATCAGGTCACGGTTATCTCGGCGTGACAGCAACATGGTTAACATCTAACTTCGAGTTCCGTGAAGTGCTTTTATCTTGTAACCATCTCCCATACCTACATTCAGGCGAGGTTATTTGTGCCGAGTTATTTCAAGTTATTAATGATTGGAATTTATCAAATGTAACGTTTGCCATTACGACTGACAATGGAGCAAACATGGTTAAAAGTATTCAGTTATTAAGTGAACAACACCTATCTGAGGTTAAACGACAGCCTTGTGTGGCGCATACCCTACAGCTTTCAGTTTTACAAGGCCTAAAGCAGTGCAAGCATGTGCATTGTCGTGTAAAATGTTTGCAAGCATTTTTTCGCTTGCCAAAACAAGCTCAAAGGCTCTGGGAAGCCCAAAAAAATTCTGAGCAATCGCTAGGTGATTATGATGATTATAATCCACTTGATGTTTTAACAGATGTAAAAACCAGGTGGAATTCGGTGTATTATGCCTGGAAAAGAATAATAGAACTACATAATTCAATGCTCCATGTTTCTACCACATTGTTAACAATGCCTGACCGAATATCACAACAAGAGGGTGAAAAATTGCATCGGCTATGTTTATCTCGTGAAGAAAAGCAGTAAGATTAAAGAAATTGTATATTAGGGGTTTCAAAAATCAGGTTCTGTAAATGTTATTTAACCAGGTTAAAGCCACCTGGAATATTACAAGCACCCAGAGACGGTGAATGCTTCTGTAATAAAATTCCATTTTATTTTGGTATGATCAACAAATTTTAAGTATCCAATCAATTTTCAAATTTTGGAATAATTTTGGATTTGATTGGCTATAATAATTTCCAATGAAAGTATTATCCGTTCCTGCTAGCATCATAATTTTAGCCACGTGATTGCAACTATAGCTTAGGCCGTGCAAAAATTGATTTTTTTTTGTTTTGCATTACCTAACTGACCTATTTTTTAATTTTTTTAAATCCCAACTGTGCCAATTATTCAATTTTTGCTATTCATTTTCTTTTCTGCCTTTTATCTAGTATTATCCAATAGAAACCTTAACTTTCTTTATATTTGATAGGACCGACAGAAAAAAAATGCAACTGAACTCAATTTGCTGATTTTTTGTTATGCAAAATGAAAAAAATTAACCTTGCATAACTTTATATGCGAAATTATTTTATTTCTATTAATTTATAGTAGATTAAAAAAAAAATCTGACCAACCAACCCATTTTTAGGTGGGTTAGTCGTACCATAAAAATGTCGCGGTCTCGTGATCACTGACCTCTTCCAGTGCAATAATTCAAATTACGCATTACATTTAAAATACTAAAAGTTAGATTTAAAAAGCTATTAAGTAACGCGTAATCTGTATTTTTAGGACGGAAAAGGTCGTAATCATGAGACCGTGACATTTTTATGGCAAGACTAACCCACCTCCAATTTTCAGATTAAATTTAAAAAGAAAAATTAACTTTGCACGGTCTTACCTGGCGACTTTAACTGCCTAAAAATTTGAATTTTTTATTAAAATTCAACCTTTTTCCTAATTTTGAAACTCTTTATTATTATTAGAAATTTTTGCTTTATCCAGGTTAAAGCCATCTAACCTATTACTAATTTTAATCATGTGACTACCATTACAGCTTATTGGATGACTTTACCCTGGCTAAAAATTGAATTTATATTAACCATTATTAAATTTCAAACTTTTTTTAAATAAGATTTCTTCAAGACGCAATAAAGCTTTTATCACCATTTGAAAAAATAACACGTCGAATATGCGGAGCTACGTATTGTACTTTGAGCCTTGTCCATCCCTATGTGGAATTATTAAAAAAAGCATTTGCTTCTAAGTGTGAAAAAGGAGAAAGCTATAACACATATCTTAACTTAATATATGGACAACAATGTAAAGATGGTGATGAAGAAGAATCTGATAGTTCAGTTAGTGATAATGATGACATTCCATCTGGTGGTTCCCGACGGCATTGGCAATATGCCCATCGTCAATTTCAGAAAAGAATGCGGATAACTAAGGGAAGGGGAAGAGGAAAAGGTAGAGGGAGAACAATTAACCAGCGAAAAGATGCTAAAAATGAAACAAATGTAGATGAGTTTAATCAAATCGAATCGTTACCAGCTGCTAATACTGTTGGTCTTCTTCAAAAAGTTCGTGCAGCAATCTACTTATTATTAGATGAATTATGGTCCGCACCATCAGATTTAGTTCGAATCGCAACAATATTGGACCTCCGATTTAAAGACTTTAAATGGGATGACACATTTGAAGAAAAAGAAAAGTCTCTTGAATTACTACAAAATCTATATGATTCCATGAAAGAGGATTCCCAACCCAGAGATATGAGTATGCAACAACAAACGACTTTTTATGATTATTCAGATGATGATGATTTTTTTAGAGCTTTAGAAAATAAAGTGGGTGGTAGTGCGTCTGTAGCTGCGGAGGATGAAGTTTTACGTTATATAGGAATTCGACAGATTAATATTGATCAGGATCCTTTAAAGTGGTGGGACATGAATAAAAGTAAGTTTCCTGTTCTATCTCGTCTTGCACAGAAGTATTTGTCAATTCCCGCTACTTCTGTGCCAAGCGAGAGGTTGTTTTCAACCGCTGGTAATTACATATCCGCAAAACGTACTCAACTATTGCCAGACTTGGTTAATCAGGTATTATTTTTAAAAAAAAATAGTAGTCATTTTGATATATTCAGACCTAAAGAACTATAAAATTAGTATATAAATAGCTTGACATTGTCATACTAAACTGAATGTAAGCTTCTTTTAGAAAATGGTGAACAATTCCAATACAGAATAGTTATATATAATTTTGAATTCAGATAATAAATATCAGATATACAATAAATATAGTATAACTATATTGATATGAGTAGTGATGTGCCATTTATATGATACCTGAATTTTTTTTTAGCGTACAGTACGTACAGTACGTACAGTAAGTATAGTTGTATAGTGTGTATAACATACGTAATATACACAATACACGTGGCATTTATAAATAAGTTATATGTAACAT